TTCAGTGTATCGTTAGTTACTTGGTTAATGCTTATTTCCAAATATTTTGCCCCACTCCACATGGGATCAGACATCTTGTAACACATAAAATGCCATAAGAAACAGTGATCATACACATGTTTATGATTTCAAGTAACATAATGTATGTGTAGATACAAAAGTATGAATAAACTGTGCACCAAATAGCAGAGGACTGTGATAAAGGACTTTCTTCCTCCTCTGCATCACAAAAAAATAAAACAAGCTCAGTAGTTAAAGTTTCTGGATTAACAAGATTACTATGAGGATACTGTTCATTACAAATTTTATATACAAAATGAGGGCTAAAGTTGTTTGTGTGCTTGAATAAATTGGTTAACCTTATCGAATTAAAAGTACTGAATGTAGGAATTCATTTAATTGACTCAGAGGGGGGGCCATGGTGTATTTATGGTAGAGGATTAACTGTAAAGAAGGAAGTCTTCCTCTGGCTGGGGCCAGTAGTCCTCCTGCTGAGAAACGGCCGAGGTGTGACGGAGGGGATTCCAGAGCACGCAACAAAAGGCAGGCACTTTGATTTGAACAGCAGTTTTAGTCAGCAACACACACAGACACACACACACTAACCGCTGTTCCTGATCCACAGCAGTCCTGCCCTCAGGTCTCAGCCGGTTGAAAGATGGGGGGAAACTCCAGATGCTTCACAGCAGTTGTGGGCTGTTACTTGGAAGAAGAAGGGAGCCGTTGAAGACTGGCAGGAGGAGGACGCTGATGGAGGGTTAAAGTTATGTATGGAGTGGAACAATTTAACAGCAGCGGTGGAGGCCTAAATTAATAGTAAAGCTATGGAGGTTTTGGCCTGAAGGAGCATTTCAAACAGAGAGGGAGGGCAGCAACAGAGGAGGACGGGTGGGGTGAAAGGAGGTTCCAGAGACTCCATATGATGGATGGACTGGTGAGGAAGAGAGGTGGGGGGGCTTCAAAAGAAAAATGACCCAGAATGCTGCTGTGACGTAGAGAGAGGGAATGCAGGATCTCATAACCAAAAAGGGGTTTACAACACCATAGTGAGGCCCCCCAAACACAGACATTCAGTGAAGATAAAAAATTAAATAAATAAACTATTTCAGAGTTTTGCTTAAAAGCTGGCTCTGAATCTGTTTTTTTAATACTCCATTTTGAGGCATAGTGTACAGCACTGCAGCAATCATTTTAGCTGTACACTGGGAAACTATGCAGTGGGTCCATGGAGATGTCACCGGATACAATGCTGAGCTATTACACCTTTCAAGATGCCTCTGTGGCTTTAGTGGTCGGCATAAACCTTTTGACTGGGGTTAACTTCAGGGCTTTTAAAACATGATCCCCCCCCCCCCCCCCCAACACAGACAGGCAGAAATGAAAACCTCTCCTCACACACACCTACTTGCTCTCTCCTTCGGGGCCTGCTAAAGCCATTATGGCTCTAAAAGAGATTGTATCGGCTCCAGGCAGACAGACAAATAGTTAGTTAGACAGTTAGATATACAGACAGCACCCCGCAAACTAAGACGCCTCTGTGCTCAGGACAGGCTAGCTAAATGTCTGGCTACTCTTCAGAGGCTCTCAGGTGTGACCGGCTGGTCTCTTGTATACCGCAGCCAAGGTGGCAGACAGGCACAGAGGTGTTCTGTGAGCCTGGAGTCGAGTGAATATCTGCTCTATCTCTACCGTCACAGCCTGCACATGCTCCTGTGAGCAAGTCAAACACAAGCCAGATCTTCTTTCCTGAAGAACTATGCAGGCTTTCACTTAGAGTTAATGCATATTTTTAGGCTGAGCCAAGGTCAAACATTTTGCCAAAGACTTGCCTGACACGTAATTTCTCCCAGCAGCTGCGGTTTCTTACATTTGATGACTAACTTTACATATGAATCAAAGACTTTAGCCAGACCACAAATGCATTGCAGCAGGATTTTAAGAGATGATGATGGAGGCTTTGGTTCTTAACTTAGTCATACACGTCTTTCTCACTGCACTAACAGTGTTACACTGGTGGAGCCTGAACCCCACAGAAGAGGCACTAATGTCCCCCTCCTTGCACACACACACAAACACACGCACACACACACATGCACACACACACACACACACACACACACACACACACACACACACACACACACACTCTTCCCTAAAATTGCTGATGGCTTGTTTTCATGAACATATATTATTTCCAGATGGAGGTCATGAATAAAACCTGACGGAAACAAGTCGGGTGAAACTGGAAACTTAAAAAAACAGGAATGGAGGGGTATGGAGCTGAGTAAAAAAAAACAATCTTTCTCCTCCCCCGCTCATTCCCTGAACCTTTAGAAAAGAGCAACTTGTCAATTACACGGTTAAAAAACAGAGGAACAGTATACCACACATGAACATGTGGACAGCAGTACCACATGTTTCACAACGATGCAAATATGAAAACATCCCTAAACAAAAAATGACTTTCATAACAAAACAAACAAAGCCTAGAGCAGCTCAACCTTCATACCTCCACACATATTTCCAACTAAATATACAAAGTCAGGGGGAAGAAAGAGAATACTTTCAACTGAGAATACAAAAACTATGCTGTGAAGACCTCTGAAACAACCACAGAACGTTGTGCTGATTCACCAACAAAGCTGTACATGAAGAAGGACGCATTGTTACGCTGTGAATATACACTACATTCAACTGAGTAACCTAATGAATCTATCACCGCTTTGCATTTGTGATGTGTCTCAAAACATTTGACCATAAAACAAGCTACGGTCAAAGCCAGAACATCCATTAACTCTGTCAAAAGGAGTGCCAAGACAAACCCAGTCAGACGCCAGACATTTTCTTCTACGAGATGACGTAGGAAAATGAACCGCAGCTGTGAGTTTGAATAAATTCAAACATAAAAGGGAGATATTTCAGGGGTGTCCTCTGTATTATCAATGTGAATACCTTGTTTTGTGAGTAAAGGCATTAAAAGTTAAAATTGTAACCAGTTTACTGAGTCTGTCTCCCTCTTTTAAGAGTCAACCATTCATCTATCAGCCAGCTACTTTGTTGTTTTTCAAAATTCTTGAGGTATAATTGTTCATCTATGTTGAATAGTTAGACATTGTGGGAAACAGAAGATTGATAACCCTCTCATGTTTGTAACGTGAAGATGACCAGCAGCTGCTTAGCTTAGCTTATCACAAAGACTGGAAACAGGGGTAAACAGCGAGCCTGGCTCTGTCCAAATGCAGCTGGTTAGCTTAGCTCAGTACAAAGACTGGAAACGGGGAAACAGGTTGCCTGGCTCTGTCCAAATGCAGCCAGTTAACTTATAGAAGTACAAAGACCTGAAACGGGGAAACAGCGAGCCTGGCTCTGTCCAAAGGCAGCTGGTTAGCTTAGCTTAGTACAAAGACTGAAAACGGGGGGAAAGCTATCCTAGCTCTGTCCAGAGGTCACAAAATCCACCTACCAGCACCTCTAAAACTCACAGATTAACACATTAACACACATCTTACTTGTTTAAGTCATACAAAAACTGTTTAATGACATTTTACGGTGGGTGGGGGAAACGTCCTTCTAAAACTACGTTACTTTTAGACAGAGGAAGGCTAGTTGTTTCCCCATTTCCAATCTTTGTGTTAGGTTAAGCTAACTTGCTGCCCACTATAGCTGTGAATTTAACAGACAGATGCTGTATGAAAGTGCTATTCAGCCTTTCATCCAGCTCTTGGCAAGAAGATAAATAAGCGGTTTTCACAAAACTGCTGTAGCTGTCTAAAAAACTAAAGTAAACTGAAGGAACTGTCCAGCCCTTGTGCCAAGCTAATATTCATTTAATTAATCCTAAATTTATATTTGTGCTCAAGATTTTTTAGCTATCTGCAGTTCTTTCAGTCAGGTTTAAAGTCTATTTACTGTAGCACAGATAAAACACACTCTTGTGGGGGATTATTTGCCAACCCTCCAACTAGTAATTCTAGTCAGTCCTGCTGCGTTGGTCCAGTGTCTTGGTTTGGTTTTATCTAATCTGAGACAGACTCCTTATCTTCTAAATCAGACTCTAATCAGCCAGCTTTGTCCAGACAACAAGGGGCCAACATGAGGTAAAGAAGACCCTGAGGCCTCCCCCGTCGTCTCTGCTATGAAAGTGTAATTTGTTGACAGGACGTGGTTTCAAGTGAGTTTCAGTGGTAGTGGTATGTAGTGGTGAAGGACTCACTACATGGAAATCTGGAGTAAATTGTAGTTTTGTTTGGATCCTTGATTTTTTCTGAAATAAAATGTTTTTATTGATTCTTAATATATTTACATAGATGTTTTTAAAATCAAGATTAAAGTTTTTTTCCCTTTTTAACAGCAACAGGGATGGGGGATTAAAGGTTACAAAAGTCTCTGGTTCATATCAAGACATCACTGGTATTTGGTCTGCTCTTTTTCTCCCACCAGAGACTATGTGGCTGCAACAAGTCATGACTTTACAGATTCTTCAGCCTGCCACCCTGCAGTTCTAACCTTATCTCAACCTCACCCGGTTCCTCCTGGCATGCACAGATGGCAAGCCCATTCGTGTGCAAACCACAGATTGAGCACTGATTGTCCTGATGACTGCCTTTGTCTTACAGTAATGCCCCCTCTCTCACCATGAGAAAGGGTTGGTAAGTAAGCTAATTTACATGTATTAATTAAGGCTCATAATGAGCCCAGCATGACGGGGCATTTGAATGCATTCCTCTGGTATTGTGCAAACTCTGCGGAGCTCCCTAGGTTTGAGTTCTCAGCCATTCAGATGGACTATAGATTGTAGTTGTGGGGGTACGCGAGAAGATAAAGGATTTAAAACACGCATAAAACCACGTCAGTATACACGTGCAAGTTTCACCTCCCCCACTGACACACACAAAGTCTCTCTCACACACACACAAAGGTGCTAATGAGAAATAATCAGGCTGTAAGTTACAGTTAGACTTAATACAATAAAAGATGTAAATGACCACAACAACAAAAAGTAGAAACAACACATTTATATAATTACAAAATTGTCAAACTGTACAATTACAATAAGTGAAGTATAAAAGAAAACACTGAAGTCAATAATTTTTCATTGAAAATAAAAGTTTCACCCACAAGGTGCACGTAAGCTATAATGCACAATCATGTAAGAACAATTACATTTCATTCGATCATTTAAATATTTATGAACTAAGCACTATAAACTAAGTTTACAAAAGTATGTATACACAGACTGATCTGGAATGGTTTTAATCATCTTTGCTCATTGTTGATGTGTAAATGCTTACATGGTTGTTTCCATCGCATACCACAGTGCAGCTAAGCCAGGGAACCATGAAAAAACAGCCGCAACCTCAGCGCATTAACATCAAAGTGTATTTGTGTAAGAGCTTGTTTTCTTTTCTCGTCCTCAGGCTTCAAATGTTGAGCTGCAGTGGCTGTTCTTATTACCTCTTTGGCTTAAAAATCCAACTATGGGGACCTGGCCTCACAAACGAAAGCCAACACACATGGCAAATAAAGACATGGTAGGAAAAAAAACAACAAAAAAAACATGTTGAGGGCACAAGGCTCTCCCCTCCTTAATTGTACCTGAAGGGAAATCCCTTTAAATAGTAGTTGGCAGAGGCAGTGAGCTGGCAGGCAGATCAAACAGTCACTGAGCAGAAGCCCTATAAATACATCACATTCACTTGCCTCACTTCAAACGCCTCCTCCTCAGCCCAGCCTCTACGCTCCCTCCTGCATAATCCGCAGAGCCGACTTTCGTTCAACATGTTCACGAGCAGGATCTCATCTTAAGCGCAACATTTTGCTTTGCTTCACATCGCAGACTGCCCGTTATCTCTCATCCCGCCTCCGTAATGACTCCCGCCAGCCTGAAACGGGATCGTTCTGTTTGTTCCTAGTGTCACAATGTGGAGGTTTCAGGAGCTTTGGTTTTCTTCACGTACACCTCTGACATCCCATCAGGCACCAGATGACTGAAGCTGCTCCTGAAGGAGGCCAGAAGGCGACCTGTAAAGTGCAAAAAGGGGGGGGGGGTTTAAAAAAAAGAAAAGAGGAAAAGAGCTATGTTAAACACACCTGCAATGTCAATAAAGTAACACGTTTTGACATGATAGCCTTAATAACTGTATACATTTCAACATTCAAAAGCTTCATAAAGAGATTAAAGGAGTAGCGGCTGTGTATGTTTACTCAGCAGTCTTAGTCATGTGACAGGCATGATTTACTGGGTAATTATAGAGACATTTTCAGTATTTCTGCACCAGGTTCATTTATTTTATCTAATGAGTTTGCTGGAAAAACCATGCACAACAACAGCAATGTGACACAGGAAAAGAAAGGAGGAGTTAATGTGTCTTTACTAACCTGTCCACGTCTTCTGTCCAGTCAGAGTGAAGCTGTTGCACTGAGAATGGGAGTTACAGATGTACGCTGCCTCTCTGGCACTGTGGACCGACAGCACACAGCCCAGCTGGCTGTAGGACGGCCAGCAGCGGTACTCCACGTTCCCGGAGGTCCCCATACCTCGCATCACGGTGTAATCTAACCACAGAGGAAGAGGAGATGCCACTTCAATACATGAGGTTACTGAAAGATTTTTAAGCACTCTGAGGGTTAGATGAAAGTTCCTGAGGGGAAACCGATCCTGTGCTGCTTCGATTGAAGAGAATACAGATAAGAACATGAAGAACAACAACAAAGAAAACAGGTTGAAGGTGAATATACAGCGTGTTTGTCATGCAACAACAGAGTTCTTACTGACTCAAAGACGTTCCTAAAACGGTCATGATTGACAGGTTTAAAAGGTAAAATAGATCTGGTTGGTGTGAATGTTTAACAAAGAAAGGTTGTGTTTTATCATGATAAACCAAAATATGGTAATTTACATAGACATGTCGTGTGAAAATATATACACATTGCATGTTTTTGAACATCTCATAGTCCTAAAATGTACCTAAAAATATTTTCCTACAAAAGATACATCACAAGATACCAAAAAAACTGAACATGACTTGTTTTCTGGCTGAACAGGTCAGTTTTTATAAGTAGGGCTACAACTAATATTTATTTTCATTATCAAATAATCTGGCAATTTTTTCTTAATTGATTGAAATGTACAAAAATATTTTTTTTCTGGGAAGTGAAAAATCACAATTTTTCACTTCCCAGAACCCAAGATGACTTCTTTAAATTGCTTGTTTTGTATGACTAACAGTCCACAAATCAAAAATATATCCAAATTTACTTAACAAGCGCAAATGAAAAGCTGCAAATCCTGCCCAACATTTGCGTTACATTCATCATTATAACTCTTTCAGTCAGTCTAGTGGATCTGGCCTTAAATCATCTGCTACACATTAGCAGGAGCCATGAGAAAGAGGAATGCACATATATGCCTGCACACACACACACACACACACACACATACCAAGACAGGACAAAAGCTTCGTCTGTGAGTCCGTACGGAGGAGGCACACTGTTACAAACTGTTAACCTTCCTAAATGGCAGGAGCCGGTGTGTGTGTGGGGGTATTGTTAAGAGGAATAAGACACGAGGATCTGCCTTCTGGGCATGAGAAAAGGGAACAAGGAGGAGGAGTGTTTTGAGGATCCTTCTCAGGGGAGAAAGAAATTAGGCCTGTTGGGAGCTAAAGCCTCAGCTGTTGAGGAGACAGAGACATGTGAATATAAGCTCTTTGTGTTTAGCATGAAGGAGGAGAAAACTGCCATCCTTTGATATTAATATAAAGAATATGAAAACATATTTATGACAGTGCTCAGGACCTAAATTAATTCAGTCTTTGCTGCAATTCATACTTGCAGCCAAAGCCATTTTAAGTAACTACATGTTTCCCAGATTCTGGTCTCCTCCATCAAATCACAGATGATCTCAGCTGTATAAAAAGTTACATCCACATGACCAACGACTCTCCATCTGTCAGCAATTTCAAATTAAGACTTGGGTGTCTTTCTCTCACACACACACACACACACACACACACACACACACACTCTTTGAGTTGTGTTGACATTTGGCTTCTTATATCAAGCCTAATTGCGTCTTTGGCTGCAATTCTGTCCCCCCCCCCCTCTTTTGAGAGAGGCATATTAATGAGTCCATGTGTTTTTTTAATACACAATTGCACAATCTTTTATTTTTTTGTTTTTCTCTTCTGGTTGTTTAATCATTTGAAGCAGCAGTTCAACACATTGCTTTCTAAGGTAGATGAGAAGAATACCACTCTCGCGTGTGCAGGTCTCCCTTATAAAGCTAACACCAGCAGCTGGTTAGCTTAGCACAAAGACTGGAAACAGAAGCAAACAGGTAGTGTGGCTCTTTCTAACAGTTAAAAAGTCCACCTACCAATACCTCTAAAGCTCTCTAATTAACACATTAGATCTTGTTTGTTTAATCTATACAATGTAAAAACCACACTTTGAAATTTTGATGGGGATTGTGTAACGGATTATATCTTGGCTAATAACAGTAACTTCCTGAAGACTTGTTTTCAACCAGAAGATACATAATAAAGTATCTTCAGCAAACAAGATATATCGTTCTAATTATATCTTTAGAGGTGCTGGTAGGTAGATTGTTTAACCTTTAGACAGAGCCGAGCTAGCTGTTTCACAGTCTGGATGATACATTTAGCTAACTGGCTACCAAGTGACAGATAGCATTTCTGTATCTTCCCATCTAACTCTCGACAAGAAAGGGAGTGTATGAGTGTATTTCCCAATATGTCAAACTATAATCTAGCCAAACTAAGCTAAGCTAACTAAGTTAAATTTAACTAAACCACCAACGTTAACAGGCTTGTCCTCCACCCAAAAACAAAACCCACAATATGGCGAAATGATATACACACACTTTTTCCCCCCGGTCATAATACACACACACACACACACACACACACACAGCAGCAGGGTTGACTCATGGCACCTCCTTGTTAAGCTAAAACATTCCCTCCTGGTGTCAGCCTTAGCGCCCAGGCCTCTTCACCCTGAATCTGTGATTAAATTCACAAAGCGCTGCTATATAAACAGTCCAGCATCTGGGGGGACGGAAAATCTCACCACAGGAACGCAGCCAGTCATTCTGTTATTAATATTTCATAGAGCTGAGAGGAACGGCGGGAGAGGGCTGCACTGGAGTGAACGGAGAAGAAAAAGTGAAAGACTTTCAGTGCTTATACTGAAAGAATACAAAAGAGGAATGGAAAGTTTGCTAAAGCAATTACTTCATCTGACTATTCTGACAGGCAAAAGTATGTTAACTAGAGTTTGTTTTAAAAAAAGAATTCAAAAGTTGGACAAGTTTCCAAAAAGATCTTATACGGCTACAGTGAAAGGCAAAATAACTAAACAGAACATTTCTTACATAAAGAATAACTCGATTTAATCCCAGCACTGTTTTTTTTAAATGAACGCCGACTGTGCTTTCTGAGCCAGAGACATGCAGGATTAATCCCACTTTTTTGGTCTTGTCGTCTCATTCCAGCTGCCTAATAAACCTGTCAAAACAGCCTGAGCAGGAGAACCCCCCCCCCCCCCTTTTAATTTTTTTAAGGATACATAATGAATACAGAGGTATAGACTGTCTAGAGTTTTGAGGGATCAAAAAAGCCAAGCAATCTCTCCAAGAAAAAAAGAAGAGTCTACAAGAGGGCTAACTGTACTTTTAAAAAGCAGCCTTTATCCAACAAGCTCTTACCTCTGATTATTGACGGAGGCAGGTTGTCCAGGTGCAGGCCAGACTTGTAGAGGAGGAGGATGTGTTCAAAGGCCTTCAGCGTTTGATTGATGTCAGCTTTCAGCTCCCCTGGACACACACAATGCATTCAATCTGGGAAAAGATCTATGTTACTACAGGCATAAAGTCAAACTCATCCAATATGGATGATTTGGTTTTGCCTCACTGTGCTTGTCTTGCCTAATCCCAGCCGTGTGATCTCCACAGATAACAAGTTGTGTTCATTACTGTGTTACATGTCGTGAAGCATCTTATCAAGCTCATTAAAAGATGCACTTAGGCAGAGGCATGTCATTACACGACTACAATAATGGAAGATTTGCTTTCTGATCTTCAATAGTTAATGTCATGTCAAGACGTCCTCACCTGTGGAGTTCATGATGTGGTCTACCAGGTGTGTGAGGCCGGGCGGGGCCTGGTGAGGCAGCAGGTAGGTGAAAAAATACCTGGGGCCGGGCAAAGACAACTCATTCAGACAGAAAGACAGACAAGCCCCATCACATAGTTCCCACAAAACATGACTTGTCTCACACTAGTGTTAAAACAAACAGTCCATAAAGCTGTCAAAAACCGGATTGCTTTTTAAACAGAAAAAAAGTATTTTTTTCCACTGAAACTAACAATTTATTCATCACACCTCCATCAAAGCGCAAATTTCCAGCTGTACGTCTTTACTATCAACAACATTTTAGGTGTCAGCTGGGCCTATATTTAAGCAATCATCCATGTAGCTGCGGGTCCATCCATCACATCATCTAGTAAAACTGTCGCTTTTCTTACCTATAGGCGTTGTAAATGTTCCTCTTTTCACTCAGGCCCTCACACACTCCCCGGGCCGAGCATGGCAGGGTGAAATTTCTGTGTGGAAACTGGAGGGTGCAGTCTGTGTCGGTCTGACAGGGGGTCTCCTCAGCGCTGGCGTCATCCAGGTCTGTGAGCTTCAGCTCGCCGGACACGGTGACAAACTGCCGGGGCTGGAAGTCCAGCAGAGCCACGGAGCCCAGAGGAGACTGGGAGAGGAAGTGAAGGAGCCTGACCAGGTCCAGACACACCTGGGAGGAGATCAGACATGCCAAAAAAGGATCACCTGGATTTATGACTAGAAGTGCACAGGAATGTAGTCTATGAGTAACACGTTGTCCTTGTAATCAAAAACAGTAATATTATCTGATACATCATTTACATCACGATTTCCTAAAGCCCAATGGGACATATTAAGTCTGCATGTTCTGTCTGATCAAAAAGCCAAAAGTACTCAGTTCACTATCATAGAAGAACAGGAAAACATTCTAGTTTTCTCCTGCATTTTTGCTAAAAAAAAAAAAATACTTTGATGATTATTTCATTGTCAAGATATCAGCTCTAGACTAAATGAGGAAGATTAATCCAAAAAACAAAAAAAAGTCAGATTAAATCAATAATGAAAAGAATCGTTAGTTGCAGCCCTGCCTCTAGCTCCAAACTTGGGTTTAGTTTAGTTAGTTAGAACAGAAGTTCAGTTAAAATGAGTGGATTACCTGGCTCCTTTCAACCTCTGCCACTCAAATAAAGACCTTTAAAAAATGTTGGAATAAATACAACAGTTCTTGGTAGTCAAGCTAAAATAATGACTTGTTTTCTCCTGAATAGGTGACATGCTGGACGATGGACTTAAGTTTCATTATACAGCTAAAAATGGTAAAATATAAAAAACCTGCAGTCTCGCAAAAACAGTGTTATTTGCTTTTAAGACATTTTCACCAACCACATTTGCAAGCCATTTCCTGAGACCTGTTTTTATAGTACTCTTTAAATCCTATAATAAAACAGAAACAGAAAATAAGTAGGCTACTAAAGGCAAAATAAAGGCATTAGCCACGCACTGACAGAGCATGAAATGATCCTGTCACACTACAAACATAGCTGCAGTGTTAGGTAATGCACCGAGTCTCTTGGACGTCACTTGGTGGGATCGAAGCGCTGTAATAACAGGGCAGGGTGAAACCAAACACCCCTGGATTACTGTAGCCTGCACAGATGCAATGTAGCTGAAAGGGGCCAAGCAGCTTGAGGGGGGTATTATGAACGGCTATTTGGGTGATACAGCAAAATGAGGCCCATAGTTGAAATGATACTCACAGACTGTGATGTTACTTTTGCAAATCCAAAAACAAAACATGCATGCTCAGACATTTTCTTCATCTCTTCCACCCATTCTTTCATTCTCTTTCAAACACATCCATGCGTGAAGACACCTACGCGCACGCACGCACGCACGCACGCACGCACGCACGCACGCACGCACGCACACACACAGTTAAGTCAACCCCCATCACAGGTATGCTCACAGTGGGAGTCAACAGAGACTGAATTTACACTCCAGGGATCCAAGCATGTTGGATGTGTGTGCGTGTGTGTGTGTGTGTGTGTGTGTGAGAGGGATGAGATGACATTCCTAGCCTGCAGTGGATTAACTCCAGGACCCATCTCCATTCCAACCCACGGCCTGATCAAATACACTCTGAGGGACAGATGTCGGGATGTCTATGAGTTTCAAATGTCTGCCTCCCTCATCTTTCAGCCTTCATCTCTCCTGCCAAGAGGAGCAAGGGTGTGCACACGCGTTACGTGCAATATGTGCGCGAGAGACTTTCAGCCTGGCAGTGTGTACTTACCCTGAATCTGTCCTCCCAGGGACTCTGGAGCAGCTGGATCATCTGGAGAGGATTCCCCTGCTCCAGGATGACTGTGAATCTTCCTCCCTCTCCTCCTCTTCCTCCTGGATCTCCTGCACAGTGACCTTTGAGCTGTGGAGTAGAGAATAACTGGGGTTAGTCACAGTGGTAAAACAAAGCTACTGTTTTTTCATTTTAACTTTAAAAAAAATTAGTGAAAGAAACAGGCTGAAGTGTGTATAACTTCTAAACGTATGGGTGAATTAAGAGGACATGATGTACTGCCAACCTTGCTCTCAGCAGCTCAGACTTGTGACAGTGAACTCACATTTAACATTAGCCAACAGGGGAAGATTCTCTGTACACCCAAATTAATCAATTTAACAGGACTGCTGGATGTGAGAAACATACCCATCGGCTAACTTCAAACTATAGTCCTAAATTGGGCTGTAATGTTTTGAGTGAATAAGCGCAGGGGGTTTCAGATGCAACCACGGATAGTGGAGAGGACAGAGGCACATTGTCTGCTCTTGCCAAACTGGACCCAAAGGTCAGAAGAGGGTCAGTGAATCTAATTTAATTACATGGGAAGGTTGTGCAGAGCCAATAAGTCCTTTCATCCTGCTCACTGTGTGTGAGACAAAGGAAAATGTGAGCAGTGGTACATGGAATATGGAAAATCTTAATAATCGTGCAGGGTTCAAAAGTGAGTATCTTTTAAAGCCCTATACCCTCAAACACCTTTGCAATAACTATATTGGCTATAATGTTACTTTTGCATTTGAATAGTAAGTTAAATATATTTAGAAGGCTACATGAAAACTTTTTTTAAGCCTTTAAATGTTTGACACAAGGCAGACAGAGGGAGCACTTTACCTTTATGACGTTCGGATGCTGCAGCCTCTGCAACAGGACAATTTCTTTCTTCAATTTATAAGAAACGAGTTCACGGCAGCCTTGGGGGTCTTTAAAATCCTCCACACACTTCCCCATGTCTATCCCCTGGTCATTCACGAGTTTTAACGCCACGGGCTGACCTCCGGCTAGATTCACTTTGACAACCAGTTTGGTGTATCCAGACCCGAGGATCTCCACCGCCTGCATGTCCACCAGAGAATCGCAATCCATTTCATCCATATGCGCTTTCCTGGTGCCATGCGTGATCTCTTTCCACAGAGTGTAATCCAAATGTCGACTTTCTACTGATAGCATGGTTTCATCGTGATCATCATCATCAGGTAATAGTAGCGGAATAATTTCTTTGCGCCTCTCGTTCAGTTGGTAAATCAACGCCCCGCGGAGCGACGCAAACTCCCCCTCATCACCACCGACAGTTGTATTGGAAAAGTGAGATATTCTCGCTCCAAACTGCTGCACGCTGCTAATCAAGAGTGACACCAGAATAGAAAGAACCACGAAAGCCAGGAGGGCAGCCGCGCGTAAAGAGTTGCCCATCCCGGGCATTTTCCTCTCGTGGCACGGCTACTGCTGCTGGAAAGACGCACAGCCACAGACTCGGACGACCGCTCGCTCCAAGTGAAAGGACTCCTGGCTTTTTCTGCAGGAGTAGTGATCAGAGCTCCTTGTTTCCAACCTCCCCGGGAACTCCCTCTAGAGGTGTGTCCTGTCCGCTCGTAACTTTACACCCGCTGAACAACTTCGCAGGAGAGCTTGACCTCCTGTTGTCACTCAATCCGCGTGTCAAAGCGCTTTCCGCAGCTGATTCTGCGGCGGCAATCAGGCGCTGCGTCTCATGTCTATCAAGAAATGCTGCGGCCGAATCATAAAGTACATGTTTTAATTAACAGACACAAAAAACCCCGAGATAAATAATGGAAAAAAGTTAAGTTTTGAGCTTAAATTTATATTACAAAAATGCTCAAAGTATTTTTAATTAGTATGCTGATTAATTTCACTCAGTCAGTAAGTAAGCTAATGACTTGTTATAATGTCAAAACACAAAACGACAAGCTGTGTGTTGTTTTATAATTTTTTTACATTATAGGTGTATGACTGCGCTCACCTTCACAATCTGTCCAACAGGTGGCAGCAAAACACCCTTTTCTCTTCACTCGTAAACAATCACTTATAGAAACTGATTTATTGCTGTCCAGAAAAATTGTAGTAACATATCAGAGCACATTACCACATGACTCTTTGCTCTTTGTCTCCACACAGTCTTTTATGGTGTATTTCCTGCTGTATCTTTATTTATCCAACTGTGTTTGTTTCACAGCTCTTGAGGCAGCATTGTATCTGTAATGAAGCGTTTCCCTCTGCACCCCCTACTCAATACAGCACAGATCTTCCACAGGAAATTACCGTGGCTGTCACCTCTGTACCAGCCAGAAGCCAAACCCCTCTCTCCTCAGCCTCTCATTATGTGTGCGTCTGGTATCCAGTACGTGCTTATCAGGCTTTGGATATATGTGTATTTTTGTGCTTTTTCTTCTGTGTGTGTGTCCGTGTGTGTGGCAGGCTGAGCAGCTAAACAGTGTAAGTTAATCAGTGTCTGAAGTCAACAAGGCATTAACCATGTCAGCTGCAACACAAGCTGTTCATAGAGCTCCATGCCAACCACCAACACAGCAGGCCTTTGTTCAATCTGAGGACAGTATTGCACAAAGACACTCCAAACTTGAGCATGAAGATTGTAGGGAAAGTTGAAGCTCAAAGGTCCACTTACTGGCTTTCAGGGCTTTCGCATGTTTTGTTTGAACATGAAGGATAACGCATTGAAATCCCTCCCCAACACAGATCAACTATTTAATCGGTCAGATGAGATACATAATCAACCCATTTTCAGTTTTGTGAGTCATGACTCACTGAAGCTCCAATAGATATAAATTAGGCTACATGATTCAGATGAAAAAAAAGATATCCCCCTCGCCAGTCTCTGCTCCTCATTTCAAACCATGAAATAAGACTTTGATCTTTCCTTCAAAACTTTCTCACACCCTCCTTTTGCTGAACTTTGCCTCTCCTCTAATAAATCATTTCCTTGTTTTTTTCCCCCATGGTGGCCCCTCAGACACAAGGGCCCAGCGCCATGATTCATATTTATAACCAGAGCCAGACCAGCAGCCGCCTCATTAGCAGCGAGTCACACCGGTCTGCTGTGTCATAGTTTCTCCTTTCTTATAAGCCGCTCGACTTTGGCTGGTTCTCACTTCTCTTAATAAGTAGCCCAAAGTCATTTTGGTTTTTCCTTTTTTTCTTCCTCTTCTTCATTATTTAAAAGGTAGATCAATCTATAAAGACAGCAAAACTTTTTCTTAATTTGTCCTTGGGAAAATCAGTATCAAACTGATGTTACACACATCTTAACCAGCAAAACATGTAAAAATAATTTGTCTTTTTAGCCACAGGGGAAAGTATCAAAGTAGGCCTTCATTTATTAAAGAGGATTTGAGATACTACCTAAAGATTTCATTTTGCACCTGTTTGTAATTGTGCTCCATTACATCTCAGAGGAAAACATTGTGCACTATGCAATGACTATACTATGAGTACTACTCTCTAATAAGGCACCCTCTATAAAGGGTGCATAAGTTGTAACTGAATGTTTTATTAATGGTTAGTTGAGTGTTTAATAAGAGCAACATTTGGGTTTGTGAAAAATCCCTTTGGTGTTTGACTTTTCTATTTGATAGTATGCAGTAATAATGTCACTTTCTAATAGGCCATCTAGTGTGCAGCTTGTTAATAAGTCTTTAATAAGGGGTTTTTAATCCATGAAGTCTGCAGTTGTACATGTTGTTGGTAAATACATTTTTACAACCTGGCAATCCAAATCTTATTATGTCTTTTCTGTTTATAAAGCATTTGTAAATGTATTAATCATTAACAAAGCCACTAGTTACAATGTAAAAAAATGGTGTCTTATTAGAAAAACACAATGTAAATAGTTAGAATTAGCATTTCTACAGCATTTAAATGCAACCTTTTGTTACTGTAATGGAACGAAAACGAAAAGGGAGCAGACTGTAGGTCCCTACCAGAGTATTTGCCAGCCTTAAATAAAGGTTCTTGCAATGGGCGTGTGCTTTTATTCAATTCAAGGATTAAAAGGCTGATTATCTCAGTCTCTTTCTTATTGATTGGTAGCTAGGCTATAGATTTAAATAAAATAAATTGAGGATAATAGCGTTTACCTGACTTCACCTCTTCATTCCTGACGTGTAATGAGTAATTTAGGCTAGCTCAGTCACACTGGTGCTCAGCAGCTGGAGCTCCCAATTAAGTGACTGTTTTAATTGGGCACAGCATCAGTGTTTCCACCATCATAACGTACATTAAACAGCAGCTGTAGCTCCTGTCCGAGCCAATTAAGCAGGCACTAATGCACACCGCCCGTCACTTTGTGCTCCAGCACCGCGGCCGGTTGGACAGCGACCAGGCGGCGTCCACAGCATCACCGCGGCTCCGCCAATCAGAGCGCAGCTCGGGGGCAGATTAACCCAAAGAGCTCCGGTGCTCCTCCGTAGTAGCAGCCTCAGAAACAAGCCCGTACCTCTGATCCTCGTGGACTCTGGTGTGGTCAGATGGAGCCTATTTGGTTAAAAAAAATAACAGGACATTCGTAATTGCCACATTTCAAATTCAGTTTTGAAGCCGAGCCAGAAGGGAGAGATGGATGTTTGTTCGATAAGAGGGGAAAGCACGGATGCGATATTGATGGATGATTCTCCCTCAAATGAAATTGAAATTCAGCAGGCTTACCAGAGGTGGGTTGTTTTTAATTGTCTGTGGATATATCTGGTGTTAACAGTGTAACTTGATTACTGTAGAAAAATAAACGAGATTTAGAGTAGTAGATGTGTGTTTTTCCCCTCATGTGGCCACTGTGAGTATTGTTCAATCCAGCTGTGTTTCTGCTGTGGACAATATGTACAGGATATGATTTCTGCTGTTGTCATTTTTCCATTACAATATTATAATAGTTATTTCAACATTATCATAGTATTAATTCCTGATGATGTCATTCTGTTTGTGCTGATGGTGAAGCCAAGAGATGGTGGTCAACTTACTTTTTAAGAATTTCTGTTGGATAATCAAATTTTTAGGTGAAATATGGTCACTTAAAGCATGAGATCACACCTTGTATCAGTATTTTAGCAAAACAACACACAAGATCTATGCTTTCAGTGCCTTCTTTAATTTAGCATCATATCTACAAGCTTTTATGCTCTGATTCTTTGCCTTTGATAGATTGATAGTGTTTGCAGTACACACACATACTCAAAGTTACACACTAGTTGACTTGAGACCTGTAAGATCTGTTCAGTGTCATCAACTTCCTGCTTTGGTCTGACTCGCTCTCTGGGTCACTGATGTCACCCTGTCACTCACTATGCACGCTGCATATAAAATGGCCATGGGACTTCAAACATGAAAGTGGGTCTGGGAACAGCTGAGGCCTGCCACCCTTTGGCTCATCAACAGGCCACATTTTTGTCTCTCCAACACGGACCCTGAAGTTGTTTTTCTCTTATATCGCACAGAATCCAACTCTCATTTTAGGGACAGTTTTTCTCTTGCATACCTCCTGAGCTTTTGTCTATTATTTTGTGTGTGTGTTTGTGTGTGTGTATGTGTGTGTGTGTGAGAGAGAGAGATTGGCGGTTCAGGAGATGTTTGTGGACATGACATCGACGGGCAGACGGAGAAGAGAGAAGCTGACAGTCTTTAGCTTGACAGAAATTTTGTGATTTTCTCTGCTGGAGTCTTTTGAATGCCTTAAAGCTGTCCTTAAAGACTGTATGGCTTAGATTAGTGCTCACAAATTAATCTAATCTAATGAACAACTTAAATTAAAGGAGGAGTATATAAAATATGACACACTGTGTTAAACTAGCCTATAGAGTGGAATGTAGTTGAAATGAGCACCACCTCGACCAACTACAACAGTGAAATGCTACTTACACAATAATGCATCAGTTATAATGATCTAATACAATAGTGTAACACCCATAGGGGACATTTTGTCTGCACTGATATTTTTTACTTTTGATACTTGAAGTGCATTTTGACAATCCTTTAAATAAGGACTTTTAGTTGTAACAGTAGTTTACAGTGTGACATTGCTATTTTTACATAAGTATCTGAATACTTCATCCACCACTGCATACACAGTGGTTACCATGTCCACCTAGCTGAAAATGCAGCAATCTAATACAACAGCCCAGAAATACATCTTATTTTTTGAATGTTGAAATATAATTTTTTTTTATTAAACATTTTCAGAGAGGTGTTGATTCAACTTTGCGGCCATTTTGGAGGCTGATGAATGCTAATACTTTATACTATGAGATTAGACTGCATTATTTTAGTTAAGTGTATCTAATAAACTGGCAACTGACATGTAAAATTAAATGATAGCAACTTTTGTTTTATCTTTTACACTTTGCTGTTGTGATGTTGCTCAGATATTTGAGGTCATCCTGACATCAGTGCACAAGCAGCTCGGTGACACCTACCCTGGATGTATTTTTATATCCTCTGAAAAATTGATAAGTTCCACAATTTGCACTCCTCGTGTGTGTGTGTCCTGTGAAAAACCATAAAAGGGGAATAATAGACATAAAAGGGGAATAAATACTCCT